AAGAAAAGTGGGAGAAAGAACTCGGGATTGATATGACAGAGGAAGAATGGTATAATGTATGTAGAGTGCAGCATTCAACTACTGGGTCAAGGGTATGGAGGGAATTTGGGTGGAAAAACATAATCAGATATTCATAACCCCAAAGATAAAAGAGAGGTATGCCCCGGAACAGAACGCATGTTGGAGGCAATGCGGCGAGGTGGGGGCAGACCACACACACATTTTTTTTAAATGCCAAAAGATGAAGGGATACTGGGAGGAAGTATGGGGAGTATTGAAGGGGATATTAGGTTATGAGGTTCCTAAGACCGGCCTGATGTTATACTTGGGGAATCTGGTGCAGAAAACACACAGGGTGGGACAAGATACCTGATTAAGGTGCTGCTGGCTGCAAGCAAGAAAACAATTACCAGAGCATGGTACAAAGCAGATCCACCTACAAAGGAGCAATGGCTGGGAGTAGTACAGGAAATATTTGATATGGAGAGATTCACACACATATTGAGGGTCCAGGAAGGGAAATTTGAGTCCAAATGGGAAAAATGGGTTGAATATAAAAGAAAAATGAACGACACCACAAATTGAGAGTTGGAACCAGACCATGATGTTGCATTAAAATAGGATAGAAAGCTTCCATGTCACTGTTTGCTTGTTTTTATTATTATTTGTATTTTCTTTTTTCTTCTTCAATGGGTTTCTAATTCAAGTGTATACTGAACTATATGTGGTTTTGTATGTTTATAAAAATGTCAATAAAAATTTAAGTGAAAAAAAAGTGTTATAGTCTTTGTTGTTATGTGTGTGGGGGAGTCTACCAGGGGCCGTGGTGGTTGTACGGCTGTGGTGGTTGACAGTGGCCTCCTCTGATTGGTCAATTATTTTTAACAAGGGATTCCAATTTTGCCTGGCCTCCTCACAACCGTGACATGAGTCTGCAGTAAATCTGTTTCACCACACACTCACCATTACATTTAGAGAGGCGCTGTCTAACACAGTAGAATACTCAATGACAATAGCAGACAGCTAAGAAGAATTTCCCAAACTTAAGTGTTTCTTATTAAAACTAGAACTACAGTGTTGTTGCTTACCAGTGTCGGCTTCTATGTTATTTTGGTCACAGATTCACAGGAGAGCCATCCCATGGTGGACAGATGAGTGCAGTAAAGACAAGAGGAATGTTTTGACATTATGAAAGAGAACCTTTAATTTTCAAAAGTGAATAGCTCTGTTCTCTCACTGAAAAGGTTCAAACGTTTTGTTGGGGGAGTGGAGGTGTTTTAGAAGCTGTTCAGTGTTAAAGATGTGTTTATGATGTATTATAAAATGGGTCGTGAAAGAAGTTTTGTCTATATTGTACACATCAGATCTATAATAAAGATTCTTCACAACTGTTAGCATTTCTTACGCCTGCACTGTATATTACGTAACACTGATTTACTAATATCTGCACTGCCTACTGTGACTGCTGAGTGTCACACTGTTCATTACACACTGTGCTGTTTATATTCCCCTTACTTTGTCTTCTATATTCATTGAATAGTATTTACTGTGATTCTGAACTCTGTGCTTCTGTTTGGATGCTGAACTGCATTTGGTTCTCTTATCTGAACAGACACAAACACCAGTGACACGGAGGTCATTTACCTCTCCGCACCTCTGCTATAAAAGTTAAACCCTTCAACAAGTCTCAGTGCAGGCCTTCAACCCCCCCCACAAACAGAAGAGAGGTAACCAGGCCTCAAGGTCAAAGACCTGAAATGAAAAGTCTGAACTTTGTTTTAAAGGCTGCACAGTTCCTGAGCTCTCTTTATTGTAACGTGCAGACGGAACAGATACATAAAAAGGCTGATCCAGAGGACAGACATGGCTGAGTTTTCTAACTGAGATCATTTTACAGCCTTGCTTCATTTCACCACCAATAAATAAGAACAGTCTATATGCTTTTAAAGGCAGTTTGTCACGTGCAGGGTTGCAGGCCCCTCCCCGTGAACTTTGGAAAGTGTGTCGTCCTTCATCGTTGTGTTTTCTAAACACTCTGGTATTCCCTCCACATCTCAGCCAGACAGAACATCCTATAAGTGAGTACACACACTAATAACCCACTCTATTAGTATATGTACGGTTCAACATGAGACAGTTGAATAGTATTAACTTTGGCATTCTGACTTATGTTTTTGTACTTTTTTTGTATAATGAGGAGATTTTCAGGGAGGGTAAGGGTCTTTTAGTCACAGCGTGTAAAACTTGTGTTACCTGTGTGGGGTCATGTTATTTACTGACAAATGCTTCACTCTCTCCCCATGGTATGCGCTCTGCTAGTTAATAATGCTAGTTATTGGTGTGCTATGCTGTTGCTCTGTAGAGGATGGTATGAATCAGGACAGCATTCTGGTGGCAAGGCGTACACAGTATGTTCTTATATGTTAGAATATAATAATAGACATGTATTATTGTGAATTGTATGGGGGCATTTGTATTAAGATAAGATGAACCTTTATTGATCCCTTGGGGGATATTTAGTTTAGTATATTTATCTTTAAATATACATACGGTACAGTACAAATACAGGTGCCAGATCGGAGAGGCTGCAGGTCTGTCAGCACCAGGGAGCAGTTGGCGGTTTGATGCCTTGCTCCAGGGCACCACGGCAGTGCCCAGGAGGTGGATTGGCACCTCTCTGGTGATTTTATACTTAAGCTGGAGCTTTAATCACATGCTGTAGGAAATGAACATGTGGTCACACTGCTCTGGAGGAAGCTTTACAGATGGTCACCACTCACTCATTAGTTATAGCACATTCATATCTGATCTTGTTTCCTTAGTTTTTATTCAGATTATATTTGATTGAAAAAACAACTGCTGTACAACTAAGTACAAGTTTCAAAACTCTTTTCAAAAATGTAAAGGATTTTTAATATTTGACACATAACAACATTGTTTTTTACTTTGGAAGGTTCCGTTTATGAACATTTATGTGAATTATATCAGTGAATATTAAATGTGCTTAGCAGAGGTAAACATTGCAACAACATGTTCTGTTTAATGTATAATATTGACCAAAAACAGAGGACACTAACAGCAAGTATGGATTTATTAAGTGGATTTTATTAAATATAAAGTCATGTACTGTACGTTTAACAAAGCTTATAGAGAACACATCATGCTCAGGTTCATGCCTGTTGAATCACCCTCTGATCTGATAGTAAAGTGAATCTTGTGTGATAACAATGCTTATTCCTCTGTAGATATGTTTGAGCCCTGGATCTTATTGTTTCTTCCCCTGTTAGGTAAGTTCATACGACATTCAGACACATTTAAAGGAAATGGTTATATTTACAACAAAGAATCTAACCATGTGATTGTCACACAGCTGCAGGGGCGAGGGGCTTCATGGTCCACAACATGCAGCGCAGCCTGTGTCTGGAGGAGACCCCCGCCACAGGGGAGGTCCTGCTAAAGAGCTGCAGCCTGGACTCAGAGTCTCAGCAGTGGGCCTGGGTGGACCAGGGCCTGCTGATGTGTGTCCCATCATCCAGGTGTCTGTCGGCCCTGCAGATGGAGCCCGTCCACACAGGGCCCTGCTGGGGGCCGGGGGTGGATGTGAGGGGGTTAATGTGGGACTGTGACAGGGGCAGGTTGATCAGCAGGGACTCCTCCATGCTGCTGTCAGTGGATGGCGGGCGTCTGACTCTCGCACATGACAGCAAACACTCAAAATGGAAATCTCTGTATGAGGGGGACATCTGCCACGAAAGTCTCAGTGAGTCAGCGAGGATTAAAGCAGGCCTGTGCTGAATTCCACATCCAGGAGTCATTTGTACATCAATATCCATCATGCTCTCTCTTTTAGAGTTTAGAGTGTTTTGGTCTCTACCTACTGATTTAGCTGCTAAATGTTCCACAAGGTCCAGCAGCTGTCTCTCTCTGAGTCTGTCTGGTGAGCCTTTTTACAGCATTCTCACTGAAACATCTTCCTGCTGCTGGAAACTGCAGTAGGGGAAGTGCACATGTCAAGTTGTGAGCTGTTATGTGCTGCATGTGCTTCATATTGTGATAATGTTGTGTTTACAGCTTGTGCTGCTGCCCCATGTGGCTACCATTAGGTGTTGCAGCTTTAAAAGTGGCCAATGGCAATTTTTCTAATGTACCTGCCATGTATTAGTTAAAACAAACATCTGGTAAATTAGTTATAGGAAATTAAAATTGTAATTTAAGATTAGAATTGCTGAAAAATAAATGTGGTATAAGATTGAATTTGGACAACTGGTAAAACATAATACTGTGTTACCTTTTACAACAAATATGTAGTGCATTGACTTGTTTTGGAGACATTATTTAACATTATTATCATTTAAGTTTGATTATGGGTTTGTATTTTATGTGTCATACGGTATGTGTCTCTGCAGGATCCAAGAGGGCGTCTAAACATCCAGAAGAGTTTGAGTTAGCGTCAGAGGAGCAGAGCAGCGACATGACGGAGGAACAGAGAGCATACCTGCGCTGGTTCTATCGCACAGAGGACCGTAAGTACTGCTGCTGCTCCTCAAATACTTCATCTTATAGAAATGTTGTCAGAAATCCCTCTCATCACAGAAAAAGGATAAGGCCAATTTGCCATGGGGGATCTGAAGTTCCTGACAACTCAGCCTCCAGGTTCATAGTGACACACAAACCGCTCCACCATGATAAGAGAGAGGTGAATTAGAGTAAAGAGAAGGGCTTAGAAAAAAGAGACTGGGTTGGCTCATGGTTATCTTTAATGGCTAGCATTCCTTCTTTACTAGCAGAGGCAGAGGTGTTGCATTTTTAATACATAAATCACTCACTGGAGATTTAATCAGACAAAATTGATAAGATGTCATGATGGCCTCCTACAGGGGAAAACAAGTCATTTATGAATATATGTGCTTCAGTTGCCGTATAAACAGATACAGATGAAGTTAAACAAATCTTACTGGTTACATGCTTCCTTAATAGTGGCTGGAGGCCTGAACTGAAGTCTCCACAGTCTTGATCAATCTGAACACAAAAAACCCAAACTAGACCAGTTCTCCTTCTGTTCAAATGTACACACCTTAGGCATCGCTGGGAAAAGTGATCACAGATCACTAGAAGCACGATGTTTTAAAAAGTGCTCCTGAAGGCATTCTGTCATCACACTTCATCTCTTTAAATAGAGAATGTATTAGCCGTTTAAATACTTAAAAAAACTAGAGTGAGAAAAAGACCACCCACAGGATACGTATGTATAAAAGTGCACCTCTGTAACAAACTGCACCACAGCTTCTGGTTGTGATCACTGTGTGCAAAGCTCTACATTTAAATCACTTAATGAGCTTTAATGTCTTAAAAGGATTCACAAATGCACAAAACTCTATGCCTGCACTTCTAGATGTGCTTACAATTACTTCCTGGCCGGACTTACTAGCATTTGTGGTGTATGCTTAAGGTTTTTCGTTGCTACTTACCAAGTAAAAAATTGCAATGGGCTTTAAATTCATTGCATCTAATGACGTGATGCGCTCTGAGCTAAAAACACTTAATTTACAAATAAACAACGACAAAAAAACAAAGCATCTTCACAAAATCCATTTTGTCTCCCAATAGTCAAACCCTAAGACAACATATAAAGCAAAATAAAGACAAGAGAGCATAATGTATCATCACATGATCAGCATAGAACGGACCGCGGTCGCTGAAAAACGTCAACAGATCACGAGTTGGGAGGGAGAATGTGTTGAGCTGTGTGTTATATCAGTGTCGTCTGCTTCCTGTTGCAGCAACCATATGGACGTTTGTGCTGCTGGGACTGGCCTTCATCTGCCTTCTTGTTGGGTTTCTGCTGCTGGGAATGGGGGCCATGGCCAACAAGTAGGACCTGAAGTTACACTATGACACTGCCAATGCAATGCATGTATGGAAATGAATAGTTTTGATGGTTTTAAAGGCTGTTCATCGTCAGTTATTTTCCCCTCAGGAGCCGTAGGAAGATTGCGAAGTACAAGGCAGCAGCTTCTGGGACTCAGAGGAGCAAGGAGCTGGAGACCATCGTCCCCCTCAGAGAGGACCAGCCCCCCCCTCCCAACGGGGAGGTGAGCGAGTTCAAAGCAGGGCACATCATGGTCACATGGAAAGACGGGAACATCTCCTCCTTGTACTCTGATCCTGTAGCAGAGCAGGAGAAACAGGAAGTGGATCAGGAGGAGAAACAGGAAGTGGATCAGGAGGAGAAACAGGAAGTGGATCAGGAAGAGAAACAGGAAGTGGATCAGGAGGAGAAACAGGAAGAGGATCAGGAGGAAAAACAGGAAGTGTCAGCTGCTGAGGCAGTGATGACGATCCAAAAGCAGGTGTGAGACAGTGTTTGAGATTACCATGCTGCTCAGGAGAGCTTTTAAAGACAGCTTTCATCATGCTAACTTTAACAGACCTCTAATACCGTAATTTTCGGACTATAAGCCGCACCTGAATATAAGCCGCAGCAGCGGCATACCACTCTCGGTTCCACTTTTACTTTTGCGCGCTACCTGTCTCACTCTTTTCCGGCCTCCAGCTTTTCCTGCTGGAACCCGCCGCTTAAAGGTGGGGGTCCGCGGACCGGCCATAGAGCCCATAGAGTTAAAGGTGTTGGCCGTTAGCTGTAAAAATCCATAGATTAGCCGCACCGTTATATAAGCCGCAGCGTCGAAAAATAGGGAAAAAGGCGCGGCTTATAGTCCGAAAATTACGGTACTCTGAAGTTAAAGCAATACAATCTTTTATGTATCATTTTCTATACATCATCTAATAAAACTCATAAAGCAGTAAACATCTCAACACGCATTTTCTTTGTTGCTAACAGTCAGATTCTGATATCACTCTGATGTCTGTGTGGTGAATGTGAAGAATGATAGTGATTATCGTAGCTATGCTAAGTGGTTAGGGTGCATCCAAACATAAAGCGGGTTAGAAACTGAAGAGGATTAGCGTAGTTTAGCATCAAGACCTGTCAGGCTCTTCAAAATTAGACTTATGAATGCTTTTGTTGAATCGGTAGACAAATATACATTTTAAACCCACATGCAGACAGTGATGTCACAGAGCCTATTTTAAGATAGCCCCCCCCTCACACGCGGCCGCTCCCCCGCTCGATATCGCTCCGAGCTCTGTCTGCTGTGTTCTTGTTTTTCCTGCAGGAAGCCAACACTGACACCACGCTGCTGGAGAATGTTCCGGTTCTTGCATGTCTCCTTTCCTCCAGTGGGCCGGGGCCTCCATCATCACTAGAGCCAAAATGGAGGCAGGGGTGAGGAGAAAACCCTGCTCACTGTCGGCCCACTCACAACTTCTGTCCACATACAACAACAAAGTGTTTCACTTCTGTTTGAATACAGATTATTCAACTATTCAGAAACTAGTCTTCATTGGGCTTTCAGTCTCTATGCTAAGATAAACTAACTTCCTGAATTTAACGAACAGCTGCTACACTGCTCATATCTCCTTTTTCACGGCTGGTTTAATTGGGTTCTCTCTATGCGGCCCTCCCCAGGTAAAAACGACTGACGTGGATGAAAATGAGTACAATCCCTGTTTAGGTTATAACAGTGTAGAGGACTATACAAGATTGAATTGTGTCACATTCATACATCAATAAATTAGTGGGTTAAAGTGCTGCGTTTCTGATGACTCATTGAATGTGTAGCTTCTTATCTCTGATGTAATAGACGATAAGCTGATCCCTTTTCCTGAATGCTTTGTGTTGATTGGCTCCATGGCGACAGATGACTTGATTCAATGCTGCTGTGAAGACAGCAGATCTTTGGTGCATGTTGCTTCCTATGGCGGCTTTAACAAGCCTAAACGTTCCTCCAACTCTCCACAGATATAATGTAACTGAATGATACCGTTTCTACAGATTTTAATATATTTTTATGTTAAAAATCTGTGTTGGTATAGAGCTTAAACAGTGTCAGTGATAGTACAATTGTCAATAAAAACAAATGTTGCACTGAAAACAACATTTGAACAGTAAAGGGAACATCAGCACAGAACATTTATGTTTTCATTTAAAGGTAGGGTAGGTAAGAATGGAGAAACCAGCTCGAGTGCGCTAGAATTTGAAAGTACACAACCGAAAAAAATCTGCCCTTTCCTTCAGACTTCCTTACAGAGCCCCTCCTCCAACAACACGAACATGCACGTGACCAATGAGGGCACGAGATAAGTTTGTGCACGAGATGGAAGGCTGACAGGCAGGTAGGCCATCCAATCATCTGCCGCGGGCCGAGGCAGATAACTGGACTAGCTTTTTACAGCGCTACGGCTTCCACAGATGAAATATTTGTATATATTTATTGTCAAAGCATTTAATGTATTCATTGCTATCGGGATGTTAAGAGCATTCCATGGAATATAACAAAAAGTGTTTCTGAAGTGAATTACCTACCCTACCTTTAATCCACTGAAAAATAAAACTCAGAATGCCTGATGTATTTTTCAGATTTTGATATATTTTTCAGATTTTTATGTCACTTAATTCTAAAGGACAGTTTTTGCTTCATTTGGAGTGGAGGTGAAGTCTGCGATCTATAGAATAAGCACTTTATACCTCGACCACAACAGCATTACACGGCTTCACAGAAATGTGACACAGGAAAATAAAGTGTCTCAGAGGTTTGAACCGTGTGATGGCAGCTTCCTGTATGTTCAACACTTCTGGGGAACAATATTGTCTAACGTTCTGTTGTTCTGATGATTTGTTCAGTTGTGTTGAATTGTCCGGTGAGGCCATCACATATGATTCTCATCATTTTCATTGAGTTGTTAAGTGGGACAGAAAATATTTGTGACAGTGACACCCAAGACACCATTAGTCAGCTGACTAACAACTAGGAGCTACTGAATTCATCAGCACAAACTGAGACAGTGTGTATAGAGATCTGTGCCCTGTACTACGAAACCAGTTCAACAGACCCTGGATATCTGAGTTATGAGTTATCTGGCTTAACTAACCCTAACAAACGAGATCTCGCTAAGCGG